GCTCCCATGTGCTACTCCGAAAATTCAGGTACCTAAGGTGCATCTAAGTGTAATTTGGAGTGTCATTTAGGGTTAATTTGAGGTCACATGTTCAGCCACCAAAGGTGCAAAACATGTGACTCAAATGTAACTTAAATGGCTTCCAAATTAAACCTAATTTAACCTAATTAGCCTACTTTAGTATTCCTTGTATTTTCCTAATCTAATGACCTAAATACATTGGTCAAATCTTCTCTTGAGGTATTGAACTTCTCTTGAGGTATTGAACTTCACGAAACAAAGTTTCAAACTCTTCAAAGTTTGAAGGATGGAGCTATGAATGAAGAAGAAGCTAAGTCAATTCGGCCAAGGAAGTGAGCTAGGTGGCCAATGTGACTTCCTTCATTTAGTCCGCTCCAAAAATCTTGGAATTGGTTTAGTTAGGTTCACCAAATGATGGTAAGACCTAACTAAATCAATTCCTTGGAAAAAATGGAGGAAAATAAGCCCAATATATAAAACTACATTAAGTATTTAGAGATGATAATGTAATTACTTATTATGGACATTATATTTTGATTATTAAATATAAGATTTTGAAAAATGTTTTTCAAATAATTTTAACATCTCTTAAATTATAATTTTTTAAATCGTTTAACTATGTATAAGATGTCAGATTAAGATCATCTACTTCTATTCTTATCTTAGTTAGTTATCAATGAAGTGACAAATTCGATTTGAATCCAATTTGATTTAAAACGAGGTCTAAATTGCTCATATTTATTTCTCCCATTTTGATAAGTTCAGGTTAAAATATATTCAAATTAGTATATTTCTCTACCAATTTCAAACTTTAAAGACATATGAACAATCTTTATATAGACGATATCATATATCTAAATCAACACAAATACCATTTAAACTCAAGAAACTTTCCAAGTCCAAAGTATCACATGTCTCACCAAACATGTACAAACACAGAACAATATTACTTGAAATATAAAAACACATGAAATGATTCCTAGTACAATGAACAACACGGTTCTATAATTTGGACATGTCTTTGTTCATGTGCATGTTTCACATAGATTTGTGGGAGTGAATAAAATGATCAATCCTTTTCCTTATTTCATCAGGATTTGCACCCACAATTTTGTCCACTGTAGTCCCTCCACTCAGCAACACAAAGGTGGGCATGGCTTTTATTTCCATCTTGGAGGCAATTTCCTGAATTAATTAAGAGGGACACATAATTAATAATGCACATGGAAGTAGACAAAAGGGGTTTATACATATATGGATTCATTCCATTTTCAGCAAGAAATTATTCTTAGAATCCTTTCCCTTTGATTTGAAGGAAAAAAGAGAATAAGGATAAGGGAGTAGATACCCTAATAGCAAGTTGTTCACGAATCACAATGCATTAGACAGAATTAAAGATTATCTTTAAAAATTTCCCGTTTTATCTATATTAATAATAGTAAAGGAGATTATCTATTTAGTGTTCAAAATATCTATACCTATTTTAACTTTAATAATTGTTAAAAAAAATTGTTATAAATATTAAAACAGTAAAAATTGTCACTTAAAAATTGTTACTTTTTTTTTTGTTTTTCACAAAAGCAAGGAGCTATTAGTATATTATAATCGATATTTTCAATGGTGTAAGTTAAAGGCTCGGTGTGGATATTTTTTTATTGAAGATTAGATTAGAGATAAGATTTAGTTAATTATGCAATGATTGTTTATATAAACAATTAAAGACCATGTGTGAGCTCAAAGTGGATTAGAATATGAAAATAAACAATTTGGAAAAATTTGTGTGGATGCCCTTTACTTGAGTCCCTCTAGATAACAATGCATTCTAATCAAATTAGAGGCATGACATAGAAATTGGTTAGTCGAAAATTTGAGACACGTAGTTTATAATAAAACAATACTTATGTACAATATTATAATTATCTTTAACGTTGTTATATATTTAGAATCGAAGTTTTATTAAATATATTACTAAAATAAACCTCTAATTCTAATTCTAATGACAATCTTATAAAATACTAAAGATAAGTCTTATCCAAAAGCACCAAAGCAAGCATAGTTTTATGAAAGAAATTATGTTTGGAATCAAATTACCTTAACCTCATCCACATCCAACGTCAGAAACAGAACATCTTGATAAGTGGAGGCCAGTTCTTGAAAGAAAGGATTCATGACTATAGAAGGCACACACCAGAAAGCAGAGAAATGAACCACAACCTGCAAATTTTTATGGACCAAAAACCATAGTTTAGAACAAACCTGAACTACATGTCCAATGGTCCACTCTCAATGATCTTTGAATCTGGTTCCTTGGCTAACCAATTTGTGATAATAATAAACTGATTTAAACTAAATGAACTCACTCAAGCAAAAGAGACTCACAGGGTACTTTTGATTGGTGGCATGAGAGATGTGGTGTTCCCATGATTTTTGAGAGTCTATTTTGATGACCTTAGGCTTTTTGAGGTCTTCTTTGTCCTCCATTTCTTTCTGCTTCAGCTTCTTCTATAATAGGTTCTATGCAAATAAAAATGCTAGCTCTTGGGGGAAATATGGCTATTTGAACAAGAAAAATGTTGATTTATCCCTTTTCTTATTATTATCATTATTATTATTTTGCTCATTTGAATGAGACATTTTTCATTGATGTGTATAAGGGATACAACAAAAATAGTCTAGCTGGGGCCTCTGGATTAGCCAATTCAATGGTCTTGGCCATGTGGTTCATGCATTGAATTAAAATATATCGTAAGTCCCACTTTTATTTTCTATGGAAAAAAAAAATATAGTAGCAATGATATTGAGAAAATTTCCAAATTAAGGTAAAAAAAATGAAATTCTTGAAAGTTGTCAACTTTTCTTGATAGCTAGTGGTAGGTTGCCAAGCATAAAAAAAAAAATCAATGCTAGTGGGGACATGGACAAAACTTTTATTCATTTTCTCTTTCGATCTATATATAAATAAAAAAATATTTAATACTTTTGATTGAAATGTAAATAAATTTTAAGCATTCTAATTTTATTTAAAAATATTTTTAAAATAATAAATAAAAACACCATTTACAATAAACATGATTAGATATAGTGTAGTGTATATTTTAAAAAATACAAAATCGTGAAAATTAAATAAATTATGTATTTTTTTTTTGTTTATATATAGATTCACAGAGAGAGCATGGTGTAAGAAAAAAAAATTATACCATTTCATTCATTAAATAAATAATTTGTTTGGATTAGGAGTCTAATATATAGAAGAAGAAAAAATTGAAGAGGAAATATAAATTATAGATACAAGAAATAAATTTAAAAATAGATTAATTAAAGAAAATATATAGAAATAAGAAAGTAGAATGATTTCCCTTTTCTTGTTTAGATGAGTAAAAAAACGTAGAAAAAATAAATGAATTATATATATAAAGAAGAATGAGCTGAAATTACCCAAAATGCATATTAAGCAAAGGGAATGCAATTTGGTTTTTCACTCTTTGGAAGTTTTAGGGTAGAAAGTAGAAACAATCAAAAAAAAAATCTTATATTTTGTGGCTTCTCATTCATTTGTGGTACTTGCAATTTGAGATAGTTCTTTTTTATTTATCATGTCATATTCACAGAAGATACTTACAAAATCTGTTCATTTATCATTGTTAACCACATTAGGTGGAAAGTCAAGTTGCAAATTTCATACACACACAGACTAATGTCAACCAAACTTGGGTTTGTGTTGTGTAGGCCATCCTTGCTATGAAGGCTCAAAAGTCTCAATATTTTATCTGTCTCCATGACATATGTGAAAATTATTGGGTATCAATCTTATCAAGCACTAGGAAGGTGATAAGGTAATTAACTTAATTAACCTTGTTCATTTGTTATTAATTTCACAATGTTTTTACAAGTCCACTAAACATGATTAACACACCATAAATGCTGGACAAGACTTTTAAATAATGTAACTAAAGTTGAGTGCTAAAGTGATTCCTGTCCCTACCTATTGAAATTTGAAACTTGTCGGGACAGGATATTGAGGCCAGTTTTGGGTAGCCTGCAATCACGTGTTTCTGGAAACTTTTTTAATGAAGATATTTAATTTTTAAGAGTATTGTTTTAGAGAGTTTAAAGTAGGAGTGTTTATGGTACTATTTAATTCAATTTTTGGCTTAAAAATTACTCTAACAAAATAAAAAAAATTAAATGTAATTCAGTTTAGTTTAGTTTGATTTGAATGTATTATCAAATCTGAACCAAACTAAATCAATATTTGTTGTTTGATTTGGTTCAATTTTGTAATTTTAAAAATTTATTATTTAAAAATTAATTAAAAATATGTAATATTATGTTATTTATGTTAAGACATGTAATAAAATTAAAATTAAAATTATATAAATACTGAAAATTTTTGTTATTCAATATACTTAGCACCATTTTTTTTTATTATTTTAGTGAAAATATATTTTTAATACAATTTTAGTTATCATATTAAATATTTTTCTCACATATATATATATATATATATATCCCATGGTGTAGTACAAAACACATGGTTTCAGTTCATCTTTTATGTCTATTCCCTTTACTTTTAACATAATCCATAATGTTTAGGAATTATAATTAAGGAATCAAGGAAACTAAATGAAAATAAGGAAACAAGAAAAATAAGGAAATGACAACATTTTTTTAAACCCCAAGTATATATCAAAAAAATTCCATAATCTTATATGTTATTTATAGAGCTATCTATCTTAATCCGTGTTTTCATAATTCATTTCCATTATCAATTCCACTTATTTTTTACAATATAAGTGGTTTGATATTGTATCATATCTTCACATGATGTTGAAACTATTTAGTATTTATCTTTTAGTTTGATGGTTGTGATATGTTTATGTATTTTAATCTTCTTTTAGGCTCTGCTATTGGATTCAAATTGGATAGTCTTCTTAAACTCACTGAGACACGTGCACAAAACAAGAAGATAACTCTAATGCATTACCTTTGTAAGGTACATGTTTATTCTTTTTTGGTCTATTTTTTCCTTTCCTTTATTTTTATTTAAAAAATTATCATTTGTGTTATGATGTCCATTGAAGAATTAAATTACAATAATCTACAACATAGCTTTTACTTCAATTTTGGGAAGTTTCCATCATTAATGTTTGGTAACCTTTGATATTATGATTACTCATAGATTCTAGCTGATAAATTACCAGAAGTTTTAGATTTCTCAAAGGATCTTGCTAACCTCCCTCTAGTTATATTTTAATATTTTCCTAATTTTTATTTTAAATTCAATTTAGCACTCTATAATTTTATAAAATATATTATAACGTACATTTAGAAGAAAAAAAATAATTTTAGTAACTTACAATTTTATAAAATATGGTTTTATGTTATGTTTTAATGTCTTAAACCTATGGTAAACATTTGGAAAAAAACGTATTTATATATAACTATAATCCTGTTTGATTTAGATTGATTTTACATTTCAAATGATATAATTCTGTTCGCGTATTCCTTTGGAATGTAGCTTAAGAGAGTCTACTCACAAACTCTTGCAGAGTAAAGCGTGGAATGTCTTTTGATTCCACATGTTGTGTGTACAGACAAGCCATGGAAACTACTTTACATGTTCTAAGAGATTGTCCTTATGCACAGGAGGTGTGGAATAAAACCTGTAGAGGGACAACCTTGATGCAAGTGTAGGGGCAATCTGGAGGTTTGGCTTTTGAAAAATCTTTTCAGGAGCCAACACTTGAGACCAGGCTGGAGTTTTAGGTTTGGAATCACTCTAGACTTGTTATGACATCGTCGCAATAGAACAATTTTTTTTGTCATCACGTCTGATCAGTTGGTAGCGGAGATACAAGCTCGCATAGCCCCTACATTCTCGAGGGACTTTAATCAAGATCTAGGCACAGGAACTTTGTACTAGAACCCTCGATGGACCTATCTTCCGGCTGGAATTCTAAAGCTGAATTGTGATGGAGCAGTGGCACGAGATGGAGAGGTTTCTTGTGGTGGAGTAGTGAGAAACTCTAATGGTGAATTCGTTGTTGCGTTTTATGGATGACTTGGACGTTGTTCTATTCTTGAAGCTGAACTAAAAGCTATATTGCATGGAACCCGTATAGTATTAGAAAGAAATGTGGGCCAAGATATCTTGGTTGAATCTGATTCGTCAGAAGCAATAAAGCTACTCAATGAAGGTTGTTCAAGGGTTCACCCTTGCTATCATATTGTTCGGGAGATAAAAGAGTTGTCAACTCAACTATCTAGAGTTTCATGGTCTTATATCAATAGAGAAGCCAACTTAGTTGCCGATACATTATCTAAATGTAGATAGACTACATTGGAGGATGTTTTCATCTATGATTCCCCTCCATCCTTTATTTTTTCCCTTGTTACTTGCAGATTCTTCTGCTATTCTTCAAGTTAATGCTTAGTGTTTTGGGGTTTTAACCCCACTTGTTGACCAAAAAAAAAGAAAGTAAAAAAGTCAAACAAAACCATTAATTTTGTAATTTTCCATTGATTTGAAATTTTTTAGTTGATTTTTTATTTTTCATTTAAGTTATTTTGATTTTAAAAACTCATAATTTAAAATCTCTAAACATAATATAAGAATTCCAATTGCTTTATTTAAACGGATTGTTTAAGGGTTAGTATTTTTTTTTCTCAAGTAAGTCTCATTTTGAATTTTATGATATGAGTAATTTTACCCTCTTGAATAAACTCATCAAATTGCACTCACATTAATTGAAGTTTAATATAACTTGTAAATAATAAAAAAATTGGAAGAAAGATAATTTTTTTTTTTTAATGTAATTTAGCAATTCTAATATAATTTTAGCTTTTTTATTACTAAACTTTTTAGTTACAATTTTTTCTAAGGAAAAAGTTAATCTAAATGTTAAGAATGAAACAATTATTATTTAATAGAACGATGGAATGAGTTCAATTTATTATGTTAATCTATTTAATTATTATATAGGGTGGGTTGGATTAGAATATTTAACTTAATTCAATAATTTTTTTAATCAAGTTGGATTGGCTCCACCCATTTAGTTGAGTCAATATGTTAGGTTAATATTTATTTTATTTTTTTATATACATTATAACTCATCAAACTTGTTTCTAATTTTTTTAGAAGATTAATGAATTAATTAATTTTTATTATGATTATACTTGGATGACTTCTTTTATTCACAATTTTTATTTATTTGAGGATTTTACTCATAAATCAACCTTTTTAGAACTTTTGTTTTTTAAGTTAACTCAACCAATTTACAACTCACTTAGAATTGAATTAAAATTTTCAATCACCTTAAATAAGTTTAATCAAATCAACTTTCTTGCACATGTTGAGCATAGGTTGATTGAGTTGACTTATTCTATTGTTCTTAATATTTAATTTGTTGCTTTAATTTTTACTAGTATTTTATTCAATATATTTTAGAGGCTAAATATTTATTATATAATTAAAATTAATACTAAATTATATATTCAAATAAATATTATATTAAAAATATGTATAAAAAGATACTTTAAACATATAAATAATATTTTAGATTTCAAATAAGTAATTTATATTGTAGTACAATTTTTTCTATATAATTTTATTTTTAAAATTTTAAAATTTAATTAATAAATAAACATGACAAAGGAAAAAATTAAATAAGTATTTTTTTTTTAAAAGGCTCTCATTGAAAAATAACCCTTAAAAATACTATCACATGAGATAACCGTTCAAATAGCTTTTTATCAAATAGTTTTGTGTGTATATAGAATACAAATTCAACTGATATTATTAATTAGATCGAGTATTAAAAATTATTAAATATTTTATTTAGTTTTTAATTCCTTTCAAAAAAATGTATTGAGTATTTTTTTTACTTAATTGTTAAACTAAATAAAAATTTCAAATTTAATTTGATTTAACAACCAGCTCAAAGTAAAAAATCTAAACTTTTCAAACTTCAAACCACTCTCCTTTAATTTGACTAGTAACTTCTTAGCTTTTTCTTTATTTTAATATAAGATTTTTTTTTGTCAACTGTTCGGCGAACCAAAGGCCACAAAAGTCCCAAAGGAGATGCAAGGACTGAAAGAGAGTGGCCCAACAGTAGGGATGACAACGAGGCGGGGCAGGTACGAGTTTCATGATACTCGTCCCCGTCCCCGCGAGTCAAACTCATCCCCGTCCCTGTACTCGTACCCGTCAGGTATGTGATTTTCATCCCTATCCCCGTCCCCGTCGGGTATCGGGTATTAGGTTATTTCTTTATCTCATATTATAATAAATAATCACACATAAAAAAATATTAAAATTCTTTAATATAATTAAATTGAAAGTGGTTATTAAATTAAAAATGGGAACGGGGACGGGTACGGGTACAGGTACGGGGCGGGTAGGTACATACCCGTCCCGTACCCGTACCCGATTTAATATATCGGGTTTTACCCGTAGCCGTACCCATACCCGGTCAAATCGGGTATTTTCCATCAAAGTCGGGACGGGTTCGGGTATTACCCGCGGGTACGGGTATATTTTCCATCCCTACCCAACAGTACACGAATTGTTTAACACTAGGAGTGGGTATACGGACCGATTCGGCCTGTTTAAGGTCCGGTCCGTAAAACCTGTGTTTTATACAGGCTAGATAAGTCTGGTCCGTAAAATAAATAGATTTATTTTTTAAGTCCGTATTCGACCTGCCAAAATCCGCAGATAACGGACCGGTCCACGAGCCTAAATAATAGTTCAAAAAAAATACATTTTTTAAAAAAATAAAAATACATAAAATTAGAAGAAAAAAATATATTTTTTATTTATAAGCTAAATTCTATCGTACTAAAATTTATCAATAGTTAAAATAATTTAAAATACTAAATATTAAAATATTAAAATAAAAATAATTACATATACTTAAATAATAGTATCAAACTTTCAATAATAAAAGCATCAAAATGTCATAAAAATAATTTAAATGACAAATACATACCAACTAAACATAATGTTAATGTCATAATAATTTAAAAAATTAAATACACAACTTAATATTAAAATCATAATATTTAAAAATAAACCCTAAACCTTATATTTTACTTTCACCATGTTAAAGTAAGGCTTATGATATATACACCTCCATTTTATGATAAGTACACCTTTTTTTAATTTTTTTTAAAATACATTTAATTTTTTTTTAGGTATCTAATTTTCAATTTAGCATTTTTTTTAATTTTATATACATCTTTCTCTTTCTTTCTTTGACTCATGATATATATATAATATATATATTTGTTTGACTCATGACATATATATATATATATTTTAAGTACACCTCCTTTTTTTTAATAAAAATAAATTCTTAAAATATCATGAACATAAAAAAATAAGGAGAAAATTATAAATTAAACAATACAAGAGTAAAATTAAAAAAATACAAAATAAAAAATTAAAGATATTTTAAAAAATAAAAAAAAAGAGGTGTACTTATAATAAAAAGGTGGTGTATATATATATTTTTTATAATCCTAATAATTGAAAATAAAGGAAGTACAAGGGGTACTCCAATCTATTACAAAAATATCACATATAATATGTGTATTATGCACCACTAAAAATATTGTTCCAAAACTAAGAACCTAAGCTAGTCCATCACATCCAAACCACAACTTTGAAATAGAAATTGCAGAATCAAATTTATCTAGTAGTCTCATTTACCAGCTGAAGGTCAGGCCCATAAGCACATAAATCAGAATTTCAATAGTAGCGGCCCATAAGAGATAAGCTCATGCCGCAATGCAACATCGAAGGCCCATCAAGCCCACACATCATATAAAGTGAAAATACCAAACCATCCTTATGAGGATAACCATTTTATTGGCACTCAGTGGATAGCACTTCACAACGGATATGACATAAATTTTTTTATTTCCCACCTTTGATGAACCATCTTTGTTTCTCACACCTCACTCATTTGAGTTCCTTCACCATGGCACCTCTCACAAACTTGCATGGAGTCTCCAAAACTCTAATTCCCATCACATGCCTTCCAAATGCACACAGGATCTCAAAGAGGGGTCAAGTAGTTGGGTTTGTAGGAATCAAAACACAGGAGGAACCATCACAATGTGATATAATTCAGACCACAAGAAGAGCAACAGCAATAGGCCTTGCCACTATAGCTCTTAGTTGGCAATTCAATGACAAGATTTCATTGGCTAAGGATAATGGTTTTTGGTATGAAGATCACCCTCTTCCTGGAGCAACTGTCACTAACAGTAAGCTTTCCTATAAGTAGTTCTTGCATGAAATCTGTTGGAAGGTCCTACACTGCATGCTTCAATTCTTGGAGAAGCTTATATATGTTGAACATCATCCTTTAATCCCAATTGATTTTAAGATGAAATCTAACATAGTATAAGAGCCTAACTTATCTTGATGAATTGTATATTCTAGTAGGCTTGCTTATTGTAGCATACATATGTGAATGAGAGGAATTGGAAGGTTTCATGTCGCCTTTCTCAATGATATAACTTATATTTCTGTTAAACAACTTCACTCAATTACTGATTGGTTTTAAAATGGAATCAAACACATACGAACATAAAGTTGAAATTTGGATTTCATTGCTCTCATACTTGATTCATGTTCCACTACTCATTGGGATTATGAATTGTATTTTGTTTTGGATTTTCCCCTCAAAATGTCTTACACATTAAAAATATTAAGCGTTACATTAACTATATTAGAAAATTCTTAATATTTTCATAATTTATTTTACACACATATTTGAGTAAATGGTATATGCAATGACATTAGAAAGAGATTTTATACTGCCATCTAATTACAAATTGTCATGGAAGTTCACTTAGTTAATTTTTTCAATAATTATCTTAAAAATTATACTAATCATGATTTGAAATTGGTTATCAATTATGTTTTTGATGTGGATGATGATTATTTGGTTAGATATTGCAAATGAGAAAACGGGGACACGTTCTTTTCTTAAAAGGGGGATCTACATAGCAAATATTGGAGTGAAAGGAAGTGTGTTAAGGATCAAGAAATATTCCTTTGATCTTCTGGCGATGGCGAGTTTGATAGCAGGAGACACACTCAACTATGTGAGGAAGTACCTAAGACTCAAGTCCACCTTCATATACTATGATTTTGACAAGATTATCTCCGCCATACCAGTGGATGATAAGCAGCAACTAACTGATATGGCTAACAAATTGTTTGATAATTTTGAAAGGGTAATACTCTTTTTTTCCCTTGAATATGGTGTGTTATAATAGTTGCTGGATTAATTGACAAATTGAATGTGTGATGCAATGACAGCTTGAAGAAGCTGCAAGGAAGAAAAGTCTACCTGAAACACAGTCATGCTATCAGGAAACTGAAGTTATGCTTAAAGAGGTCATGGACCGGATGGATATATTGTACAAAACAGTTTGACATGATCTTAATCAAGTTCTGTTGCAATTTCTCTTATCAATATCAATTTTACGTTTTTGACATACTAATATACCATGCTTATTCCAAGAGAAGGGTGCCCTTCAAGATAGGAAAATGCTTATTTTTATAGTTTTTAAATTTAACTTGCCCTATCAAAGAATGACGTATTATTAAAAAGCTGAGTTTCATAAGAGTTATTTTAAAGGTCGTTCATAATCGGTTAGCAACATTAGAAACACACTAGTGCACATTAGAGGTCGATGATTACGTGAAAACCATAATAATGACTCTACTTTGATTCTTACACGTTTGGAAAAATTTAATAATCCCAAAAATGTCTCTGATACTGATAACAAGGTAGAGTAATATGAAATTACGAAAATATAACATCAATCATAATTGCAAGTGGAACTATAATAATGAGATATCTTAGTAACTTCTTTACTATACAAGCTATAGGCATGATGTTAGAATTGGAGTTATTTTGGTTGTTGTAGTAATGACACAAATAGGTTAAACAATTTGTATGGAAAGATTAGAAATAGGTCAAGCGAGATTCTATAGGGCGTCCATTGGTGTGACGGCGAGGTGTCCCAATTTCACAAGCATTGACCCTTGATGCAAACCGTAGTGAGCATAGTGACTCTCCAGTTGAAGCATTGTCAGGAGCAATGTTTACAAACATTAATGTCTTTGAGTCCCCACCTAGACAAGGCTGTTCAACATTGTATTCAGCAAAACAAATTAGATCACTTCCAATGATTAGAAAACAGCAACAGAGATACAATACTGTAAATTTGTCAAATCCGCATATTTATATATGAAGCACAGACATCAGAATGGGTGTCGATCTGACACATTTTTAACATGACACTTATCACACACGTTCAATACATCTACATCATTTTTCTAAGACTCAAAAAAAAAAAAATTTCTATGGTGAGGCTCATTTTTATAAGAATTATTCGATCTTTTAACTTTTAAAAGATATAATTCATTTTCTAAGAGTCATTATCATATAAAAATTATAAAGTTTATAAAACATCTCGTGTCCCTGTATCCTAGTTTTTGGACATAAGTTGTGTCCCAGTGTGCATGTCAGAGTCTGTGATTCAAATTATATATATGACACAGTTTCTCAAAAATTATAACAAAGGGATGCTATTATGCAAACAATGTATAACATAGAAGTCCCTCATGTGTATTCAAATAAAACATGAGTTTAATTTTTATGCATCGACAATGTAAAAAAATTTGACACTGTCAACCAATGAGAAATCATGGTAGGTATGCCTTTTAATATAATTTCTCTAAAAATCAAATAAGCTTATCATACATGGCAATTTCTGATTAGATAACAGTGCAAAAACTCTTTACAATATCAGTGTATTGACTATTTTCTCTAAAACAATAGTTGTTTTCAGAAGAGATGCTTATGCTTCATCAAGGTAATGAAAATTCTGACATTATAGAGTTTAATGTAGGTAAATAACTAAATACTAAAGAATATATTAAAATATAAACAAAAAATAATCACCTGAAGTAAGTATGTAAGCTTAGAGTTCCTGAATGGGATATGATCCTCCTTCTTGGCCAAGGCGAATATAACATCACTTAACGATGACAGACTTTTGTTTATTGCCTAAGTACAAATGAAAGAAAGTTTACAATAACAGAAATCAAATAAGCATTAGTATTAGAAATAAAAAACTTGATGGCTAAACATACTTGAGTTTCTTTCAATCGGTCCCCGGTTGATCCACTCCTTGAAAGACGCTCACTCCCAGCAAGATCAATAAGATTTAGAATACCTTGTACTTGTTGGTCAGTGCTCTACCATAACAACATAGGTTGCAATTAGATTGCCAGTGAGTGTATGAAACAAGGTTCAATTATTATCCGAGGAGAAACAACCATACCTCATTCACACCATATATTCGAAGAGTGAATACAAAATGACTTCTTGAAGATTGTTCATTCATCTGAGTTTTTCCCACAGATCTAAAAGAAAACATAGAGAAAAACAAATATAGGGAAATTCAACATCCAAAGGCAAAGTATATTAACTTTTAGAAGTAAATAAATCAAAATAGTTTGTTGCACTAGAACTATTTCATTTTTTCCCCCAAAATCAGTAAAGCTCATTTCTCTTGATCCTATATAAGTAACAAAAAATTACTGCGAATGCATTGAGAACTAAGAAGTGCAATATAATGTAGCCATAAAATGGCAAGTTCCTTCATTGTGTCTTATTGATGTAATTAGAATAAGCACTAGAAGCCTACAAAGGAACCTTAGGAAGTAATTACCTGCTGTTCGCAGCTTGATTTAAGAGAAATGCAACCTCTTTTACACTCTGAACATCGACTACTGTGAGATCAGAAACATGTGTATTCCCATTGGCATCATGTTTGATTGTGTATTGCTTCCCAGGAGTACCATTTTCCACACGTGTTGGTGTTGCATCTGATGATGACTTATTTGTAGATAAAAGATCACGAATGGTTTCGTTGTATATTTCCAACATTGACACCTGTTCATTTTTGAGAAGGAAAAACCTTCTTAGACCTCAACATCACAATTTACGATCTGTGAATAGAGGGAAGAACATACTACTCTATATCACCTGCATTTCATATTTCCAGCCTTGGGGTTGCTGAGACTGTTTCGTTTGAAATATTTGTTCAAGTGAACGAGGAATCAAGCCCTTCTCTTCTGGATGTCCAGGCCTGCCCATCATTGTATATGTTTTACCTGACCCTGTCTGACCATAGGCAAAAATGCAAACCTGGAAAAGAAAATGTCCACTGTATATCATAGCATCCTTGGTGTTTAAAATTTATGCATACAAATTGGTAAAACATGCATATTATAATTCAAAATTCTTTTAAGACTTTTTTTTCTGTTCTATATCTGACTAGCAATTGCTCAATTGGTTGCAGTTAAGCAACAGTCTGCATATAATATAACTTGAAATGATATAAGGAATAAAAGATGAACTTAGAAATTACCTTATAACCATCAAGAGCACTTTGCACAAGCTGTGAAATTTCAATAAAAACTTCTTCTTGTGATGCATCAGGTGCAAAAACTTTATCAAATGTGAAAGAATGTTTTTGGCCTAAAACAGAAAAGGCAACATAAGTTATAACAGCTAAATAGTAAACTACAACATACATAAATTAGAAAAAGAACAACTTCAAGGACAGCATGATGAGACATACCACTTTGTGTCAATTCAATGCCCCTTCCAGAAGCTTCCATCGATGTGGGATAAGATATGACCTTTCCTTCTGTGCTACAAGCTTCATCTGGTAACAAAGGCCGCACTCTACAGAACACGCGGATGTTCCCTTTTAATTCCTGTTAAACGGAGATTAGTATGGTGTGGCTTTTATTTAGTTTTTTTCATCAACAAATTTTGGCTCAGGGAATTACCAATATGGTATTGTGTAATTCTTTCCTCAGCTTCTCTCCTTCTATAACTTTATATTCTGCATCTGCCAAACGTCTTTGCAACTCAAGTACAAGTTTACGTTGCCCTTCAAACTCTGTTCTTGTCTCACTTGCAGATATGTCAGAAACCTGATGAGGAATGAAAAACCAATATATCATATTGCAAGTCCAATGAGACTTCCTTTTCTTCAAATTTTATGCCTTATTCATTACCTGCAGTTTCTCCTCTGCAGTAGTTAGCTGCTCTTGTAGTACCTTTATTCTCTCATCTTGCAAAGCACATTTTGCCTGTGCAGGAAAATCATCATCTCATGTTTACAACAATAACAAGGGGATGTGCATTTACCGAAAAAGAAACAAGATATAAACCACAACCTCTAGTTCATTTGTCCTTGTGGTCAAGTTGTTCAGTTCAGAGCAGGACTTTTCTGTAGAATCTTTAGACTTCTCTAACTCAGAAGTTAAATTTTGCGCTTGAAATAATTGCCGGTCCCGATCATCCCTCACTTGTTGCAACTCTATTCGAAGAGATGTAACTTCACTAGCAAAGGCATCCTTCTGTTTTGTGGCCTCTTCTTGAGAAGCCTAATAAAACAACCAAGGACACTGAGTAAGATACTGGTTACATGTTAAGAACAGGTTTCTGAAATTTCAAGGATAGTAACAACATATAAGTATTTACTTATAGATAAAATTTATTATAAAAAAAAATAGAGCACACGCAGAAGGAAAAAGATGCATATCATACTTGCTCTTAAAACTTCAATTTTTCTAATAAAAAAAACAAATACAATAAGAAAGGAGATAAGAACTGCAATTTTTCCAATAGATGTACCAAACTTGCCTAGATATAAGCTCTTCCAATTCTCAATATACAACTGAAGAACCAAACAACAATAGGTGATTTAGGATTAGGATCAACATAATATTGCTGTCTGATAAGGTTATGCACACAATGCAAGGACATTTTTGAATGATTGGGAATGTATTTATGCCTGGTTCAAGGAGGGGTTATTGTAGCCTGTAGGAATAGAAAAAGCAACAAGGGTGTGTGTAATCTCACAAAATCTCATGGAGTGTCGTTGTAATTTGCTGTTAGAGCTAACCAGAGGTTTGAAGAGCTAAACCATTTTTCTGTGTTGTTTTACTTGGAAAAATATTGAAATAAACTTGTGAAACTTCTCTGACTATGTTTTAATGCTTTAAAGGGTGAACATGAAGAACCATGGTCCAAAGCAAAAATACACCTTACTCCAGAATTCTAAAAGCATCAATTTAAGTAAAGTTGCTAAAGTTGAGGATGTGTACATGAAGATCTACCCTTTGTGAGATAGAAACATCAAAGAGGAAAGAATACGCAGGGCCAACAATGAAGACATGTAGTCAAGTCTTTTAAAACATAAAGAAGATTTTTCAAAAATCTATTGAATTCAATGCATTCTAGAAGTATCATCATCATATAAACATCGGCATTAACCAAAATCAAGAATAAATTAGCCATAATTCTTCCTAACCATCTAATCATCTATCCACATCAACAAAAAATGCAATGTACGCATTCCAGTTCTTATCAAGAGAGTTGTAGGTATCTACTAAGATTCCAAGT